AAATTATTTATAATTATTAATATTAATAAGAGATGGCGCCTAACGCTTACCTCTAGTACCAAATTGATTACGTAATTTATTTAATAATTAGCATAAAACTAGCCCAATAGATTTTCGGCAGTCTGTTGGTTGTAGCTATATTATATATCGGGTTGGAGATGTTTGTAACCAATTATTGTTCAAATAATATAAATTATCAATAAAATCATTATCAAAGCAAGCTCTGAGAATACTGTGAAATGACAGAAGAGTTTAAAACTGAATGTAAAACAATCTATTATAGCCGGTATCTTTTCCTAAAACACAACATAAAAAGGCATGTACTCAAAGTCTTCAACCAAGTTAAATCACATGTAATACACCAACAACTACTGGATTATATTGGACTATTATATTGCAATATAATAGCCCGATATAATCCGGTAGTTGTTGGTGTATTATGTATGTACGTCAGGTTTGTAGATGTTGGTTTATTTAAATTACACAAATAACACAAAACTTAATGCTTAATGTATACAAGCGTAAAAGAATAAATTTATACACTTGATTCTGAACAGAGTTAGTTATAGCACACACATTCTCACCTGACATATTTGCTCCTGCCATAATTCCAGTCACACCACTGAACAACACTGCAAATACTGTTGCAAAATTTGTAGGTTGGTCTGTCGTATAATCTATTGTATAGTTACCTGGAAAAAAACAAATTAATATTTCGTTTTTAAAAAATTATCATCACAATATTTAATTTTAAATAATTCATTCAAGTTCACAATAATTATTTAATTTCAGAAAATTTCAATAAATTAGACGACGATGACAATTATTTTACACTTACAGAAATTTAATTAATTTCTTGACAACTTGGTATGAATTTTAAGTTAAAAATTAATGTTTAAACAGATTTTCTTTCATAAGACTCGAGTATTTTATAAAATTTATACATGTGTCCGAAACTTCTTGCTAGCTAGCTAGAAAACCTCTTGGTGATGAGCCTGCTGCAGCATTGAGAGTACTGCATTGCAGTTTGTGACAAATTCCATACTGATAGGTCTCTCTGCCTGAATACAGGTAAGCACTTTCTATCCATTCTCTACTATGTCCACTATGTAACTTATCTTTTTCCCCGAAGACTTATTTTTATTGCTTTGATTTATAAAATCCGACAAGTTGTTGTGTATTACCATGTATTGCACATAGAATAATATAGTTCTTGCCATATTTGTCTGCATTTGTTTACCATTCTCACTATTCATGTACAAATGCTGTCTGTCCTTAAGTTTTGGACACATCTGTAATATTTGTACAATTGCAAAAGTTTTCTATGGAAATAAGCTTTGATGATAACACATTTCTCTTCCAAATATACAATTTTTACCCCGTGCAAACACTGAAAACATTAAAACACTGGTTACATTGTAATGGTCATCAGGAGGAGGTTATTGATTTGGGGACTAAATGTTAGACATATTGATTCTGGTGAGAAGTATGATGTTTTCTATTAGCAATTAGCAATTGTAGGCCTGGCCGAATTTAAGACAGCTATAGAAAAAAAAGGCGCTCATTGTAATCGCGGTATAAAAAAGACTTGCCAATTTCCTACAAACTAAATTTATACTTCCTTCATAAATTAATATATTGAAAAATTTTCAAAATAGCACTAAAAGAGAACTTACTCAAATACATAAAACAAAGAAGAAAAAATTATTCCTGATATTTAATATTACATTCAAATCTTTGTAACTAAATAAGTAAAGATTGGATTTCTTCAGGCTATCTTTAAACTAAAAATTAAACATGAAAACTACATTATCTGAATATGTGTACCTTTAATCAAAATTATACAGTTTCTATATTTATGTCTAGCCAAAAGACAGTCCAAAAGAATCCATTCTTTTGATATTAGATTATTATTGATATGACGTACAAGCAAGTATAATAAACTGAAACAATGCATGATTGAGATAATTATAAAATTTTAAAAAGTTAAAACAATTTATTTATAAATAAAAAGAATAGTGTTGAAATTCCTATTCTCTGATTAGTTGTAATTCTTCAGTGTGCATGCTTTTCTGTGAAACAATTACAGTAATTGGGTTATTTGTTCAACAGAACAAGAAAAATTTTCTTTCTTTTAGTCATTGCTATATGCAAACATCACTACTTTCTTCCTTTTACATTTCAAATTTTGTTTCTAAACTTAAAGTATAATTTAATAACTACTAAATCATAAGCTGCAAGATTAATTTCTGGCTCAAAGCAATTTGGTCTAAAGATAGCACGAGATGGCAGCCTAACCATCTAAGTTTAATAATTTTTTAACTGAATTTACGAGGGCGGTTTTTTCAAGCTCCGATGGTCCATAAAACAAAGACAAGTATAAATAACAAAATGAATTTATTACCAAAAGTTATGTACAAACATGGTTACTTTTCGACATAATCACCATGAAGATTGAGGAATTTGTAATATCTGTGGACGAGCTTTTCCATCCCCTTGTCATAGAATGTTGCTGCCAGTGAATTGAGATGACTTTAACAACATTGTTTTGAAGATCGTCATTAGTCTCAAACTTCAGCCCTGCTAGCCACGTTTTCAGTTCAGGAAAGAGGTGGAAGTCTTCACATATTAAAAAAGTTTTAAGCTGGGTGGAAGTTTTCACCACCTTTAAACATCAAGCATATAGTCCTGATTTAGCGCCAAGCAACTTCCACCTCTTTCCTGAAGAGTAAAAGTGGCTAGGAGGGCAGAGGTTCGAGACTAATGACGATCTTCAAAAAAATGTTAGAGCCCATCTCAAGTCATTGGCGGCAACATTCTATGACAAGGGGATGGAAAAGCTCGTCCACAGATATTACAAATTCCTCAATCTTCATGGTGATTATGTCGAAAAGTAACCATGTTTGTACATAACTTTTGGTAATAAATTAATTTTGTTATTTATACTTGTCTTTGTTTTATGGACCATCGGAGCTTGAAAAACAGCCTACATCATAGAATATATACATAAACAAAAAAACCAATCTGGAGCAGGACTTGACCCTGCAATATCCTTTTATTGTATAGATGTATTATCAATTACACTATCTAGAACTTCGTCTGATCTTTGACTTTATTTCAATTAATTTGAGAGAGAACTATATGAGTCAATAGCCATGCACTAGAGACAATTCCATATTCTGCCCATAATGGCTGTAAACCAACTTAACTTTCACCTTAGTATGATACGTATATAAGTAGGGTCTTCCAAAATGAATCCTACCATTTTAAATTACTGTACTTATATTAATTATCTGAGAAGTACAAGATGTACACCAATTGATAGTGTAAATGTCCAAGTTTCATCCCATCTGCATTCAAACATCTTATTGTTCTACTACCTCTAAGAAGTGTCATAAACAAAAATGACAACTCAACAATAGAGAAGGCATTTTGTGTTCTGCAGCTCAGAGTCAGAGTCATTCACCATCATGTAATATGAGTTATCTGCAGGAGCCAGAGAATTCTGACTGCTGTGAGAGGAATGGTAATGGATGTGCGTGAATATGAGAGTGTGGGGGATGTGCATACATACAGTACATAAAAATAACCAAACCAAAACTTTTTAAGTTACCAAATTCTTGCAGTTAATGACTTGGTAATTATAAAGTTTAGGGTTCTGTTGTTTTAAAAGTTATTAAATTATACATAAAAGCTAAACATTATACAAATTAATTTGAATGTACTTACTCCACAAATTTTCCTTGAATGTCTCCCAATTGAATCCAGTATAATTGGCACGTGAAATATTGTATTGTCTAATATAAGTATTTTCTTCCGGCAAAGCAACAGAAAAAGGTTTTTGTGCCATGAAACTAACAAACACAGATGCAGCACTTGCAATAACGACAAAAAAAATTATTAACGAGGTTCGTGCAAACATCGAAGCGCCGATAAGACACACAATTAGATTAAAAAAATTAAGGAATGATCCATACAAAAAACGCCACCAAAATTCTGATGGAAAGTATGAAGTTATACTTCCTGAAAGAAAAAAAAATTTTTTTTTTTAATTGTACTGTACATTTAGATACAGTATTAAAACTTGGATAAATAATAATTTTATTTAATTTTTAGAGTAAAAAAACTAATAATAAGTTAGCTCATAAGATTATTACACGATTCATCATCTGAATGTAAACAAATTTAAATTAAATTAAGTTAGATAATTATTAAATTAAAAAAAAGATTAGAATATTTTTGATAGGATTTTATATATATTAAATATACATAATGATTTATAATCATATAAAATTTTATTATTGGAGGATAAGTTTTACACCTTGTGGTGCACACGGTATTACGTTCCTTTAAATTTCAGGTTTTTCTGGCAACTTATATAATATATTCCTTTCAATTATACTATCATTTCTCTATAAGAAGCATCCTCTTACTCAAACATTTCATATCAGTGAGTGAGGTCAATGTAGGTTTATAAAATCTATGTTATAAAACAATTGACATTTTTGATTTAATAATTATCTAATTTTATTTTTTATATTTCTTTGTATTTAAAATAATTTACAAATGATAATGCCAGATTAACTATCAGGCTAAAACTTGGCTAATTAATAACATAAACATTACATAATTTGGACTAAAGATCGGCCATCCTCTTATATTAAATAAATGATAACAGCATAACCTTTAGTCCAAATTATGCAATACCTACAAAATTAATCAGCCAAATTCTTGTCCAATACATTAGATACTTGCTAATCCAACCATTCTTTGCTTAGAGGAGTATGAAATTAACAAGATTGCCAGAATGCGGAAAGTGCAAGAAATGATGTGACACATTGCCCTTCAGTACCAATTCATTTTAAAGGCAGGCAAGCAAATAATATGGCATGTTGACATGCAATACAGTACACTGAAATGAAATCTGAGTAAACAGGAAAACAAGATGTGTGACACAAGTAACATTTTCATGGAAATGGAAGCAACGAGCAATCACACTGGTGAATATGCCAGATTACTGAGATGCCTGATTATTAAACACCAGATTAGCAAGAGTGTACTGTAATTAATCTGGTCATATTTCATCACAAGATTAATTCAGATTAGTTTTCTTTATGAAAATAGTTTATATTCAGATTATGTAAGTTTCTAAAATAAATAAATAAATAATAATAATCTCTTAAAGTTGTGTATTTAAAGTCAAAAGACCATAGAGAACCACCTCCATTACAGTTTTACTTAAAAAAATATTAATTTTTAAATAAATATTATAAATTTGATTATATATTTCATATCATCAATTGATAAAATTTTGTTTTATGTAGGTATTTTATATGTTATATGTTAATATTTACCTGATGGTCCGAAATCATCTACAAATCCTTCAATACATCCGGTGACGTAAAGTGCACTTGAAAATACATTTGCCAGAAAAAATAATGTTCCAATACTTCCTCCAAATTCAGGACCTAAGGCTCTACTAATCATAACTAATTTTATTAAGAGAAATAACTGATATAAAAACAAATATAAAATATTGATTAAAGATACAATATTTATACTTATAGAAATTAATTTTTTAGAACCGTACATGTTAATTATTTCAGAAATTTGAATGTTAGTGTATGTGCCTGAATCAATAATTAATAATAATTATTGATTAAAAATTAATTAAAAATTAATAATAATAATAATAATAATAGTGTATGATGCTTAATGGCATTATTAAGACTAGAGTAGAAAATTAACTTTTTGGGTTTTTTTTCACAGGTACTGTACATTTTGATGCAATATTGTATTCTATAAAGTGTCCCATGGTCAAGGGTATGTGGTTACATATCTCAATCACTTTTACAATTATACCCCCACTTGCTCCATTTGAGGATGTGTATGGCTACATATATAACTATTACTAATCATGTGTTACATCTCAACATATCTGAACATAGAAAAGGTATAGGAAGCTATAAATTTATCAGCTGCACTATAATCTCGTGGAACCTCTGTGTGACTCGTCATTAATTTAAGAGGCAAATATCTGTAAATAAAAGATATTTTCGCTAAAAAAAGAAAAGGAATACTAATAAATGAGACTCCTAATATTCTATTTAAAAAAATGGGACTTAAATTAGCATAATGAGATGAAAAATCTCTGTCATAATAGTGCTATGTTGGAATAAAGTCACAAGGCATAGCTACCCAAAGAAGCATAACATTATGCCAAGTTATTGGTATGTGTGTCAACATATAGAAACTTCCTAACGATGCGATATGTGTTCAATATTGCAGCTTTCTGTAGTGCCATGTATTTTTTTTTTATTAAGATTTAACATTTCTAGACTTGTTTAGTGTATGTGATATGACATTAGTGGAAGAGAGGACAATAAGCACAATAAATACACTATGCATCTTCCACAGATGCCTAATTTCTTGGGTGATGGAGTGTACTTGTTGATTTTATTCAGTGTTAGCATTTTTAATGTTATGAGTATTGAATGAAAATGTCTATAAGTAACCTTATTACATTTGTCAATGAAAGCAATGTCAGTTCTATTTGTGATGGATTGTTAGTCTTATTTTTCTGTTACTAATTCTAGTGTATCATTTTAATCATTTTATTAGATTAATATCTGTAGTAGAAAATATTTACAAAGGCAAGTTAGCTCAAACTCTTAGTCTATTACAGTAATGTCATAAATACTCGGATGAAAATTTTAGAAAAAGTTGTGCTGCGCTCTCTCAAGAATAAAGCATTGGAAATGCAACATAACAGCATTGACTATGATTGCATGTGGAAAGGTGTAAACATTGAATACGGTTTTGATGAGCAGAGTTTAATATACTGAAACTAAAACTATACATATATAATGAATAAAGCATGACTAAAACAAAGTATTGATTCAGAAGAGATTAACATGTCAAGTAAAGAGGTTCCTGACTTTGATACTATAGAAAACAGTGGTATATAACTTACTTTACTTACAATAAATATTTGTCGTCTCAAGCCATCTATTTTTTCAAAAAAAAATTTGTGGGTGATAATATGAAAATTAATGCAGTTTAGATTTGAGTAAATATGATATTAAGATCACGAAAGTTTCATTATATAGCATAAAGGATACAATAAGCACCACCACCTTCAACAGCTCCGTTTGTAGATATTGCACAAATTGATAAGACAGTTGCAACAAGAATAATATATGCGAGCAAAAGCTGAGCAATCATTAACAACAAGCCATCAAAGCCAACAACGAAACCTATATTAAATATATAATTCTGAATTATAATTCTAATACAAATAAATTGTTTACTTTTAAATGAAAATTCAAAACATTTCATAATGAAATATTAAAAATGCTTAATTAATCTGTAGACCAATATCTGTAGTAGAAACTGTAGTAAAAAAAACACTGTTATGTTTAAATCAAACTATTCTTATTTTATATAAAAGTTATAAAACAATTAAATAAAATTACTCCTTATTTGTAGAGAGCATATACCAAACGAATTATGAAATTAAAAACTTATCTTATTCTTAAAACTGAAGTTTCAACTCCGATTTGTCCAATTTTTACAAATAAAAAGGAAAAAACTTCCTTTCGGAAAACTAATTGATAGTAAGAGAATTACCATATGTTAAATATTATTTTATATATCTTTGAATAATGCTTTAAAAGGAGATAATGATCTTGTTTTAAGGCATTAAATGGTGGTACTAACAGAACCTTTTTAATCCTATCCATCATATGCTGAATGATGAGAATGGAGCCTGACAAATGAGACCAATTGCTCCTGAAAATTTCTGGGGCGGTCGTTCACCTGGATTTGATCCCGGGTCCCACAGCAGTAGATTGAAGTCTTCTTAACTTTCTCAACCATCTGGCAGTCGAATTAAATTTGAGGCAATGAAAAGCAAATCATTTTTATTGCATTAATAAAAATTATTATGAGAGCTAATTTCTATTCGGTTAATGAAATAGCTGTCAAAGTAATATTCAAATCTTGCTTGAAGGTGACTAACATGTGAAAAGCAGTACTCATATTTGTACAAACAAAACTAATTGGCTTCTGATTATGGACATTAAAACTCATCTAGAGTTAAATAATGCTATTAAAATTGTTTATTTTTCACTTTTATAATTTAGAAACAAAAAAATTTCGTAAGGGAATCAGATAATTTTTATAAATTTTTGGCAGTATTTGGATGTTTTTAACCTTTAAATAAATGTGTATGTTTATACAGTAATACCCCAAACTTACGCAATAGGTGGGACCGAGAGATAACCGTGTAAGTCAAATTCACGTAAGTCGGAATATAATTTCGCAATTTGTGTAAAATCCAAGTTGGACGTACGTAAGCTAATAAATGTTCTCGTTAATCTTATCTCGTCTTTTGATTCGTTCACGGTTACAAGAGATCACCACAATAGAGTCTCTAGAGTCTTCGTAGATATAACAAACACAGAAATAAATAACACAAAATAAATTGTAGCTATGCGTCGATTCCGCGCTGCACGTCCGAACATGTAAGCCGAACAATAGTGTGGGGGGAAGTGAGTAATCAAAACTTGCGTGGCGCTCAAACAAAAGACGAATCGACGAGATTTGAAAATTGCGTAACTCCGGGTTCACGTAAGTCGAAGTATTACTGTATAATAAACTTTAAACATTTATTCATTATATAAACAATACATAAATTTGATATACTATTATATTAATTATAAGAAAGATTATATACTAAGTATTTTAAAATAAACAACAAGAGACAATTATGGCTAAACAAAACAAGACAATTTTTAATAAATTACCTATTCGAAGAAACAGAAGGGCACTAAACATCGAAAGACATACTGGTGCGAATACTCCAGAAAATGTTCCCAATTTTCGACTATTTTCTCCATTATTTACACTGTTCTCGTTACTTTGACTGCTACGAATACCACTTAAACTTTGGAATAACCACGTTTGAGGTGAAAAGGAAGTCCTGTTGGATGACTGAATATTTACATCTCCTGGAATCAAATTTGCAGTATCTAAAGTAACGTTGCTTCTATTTCCTGAATTACTGCTTTCTATGGTATCAATGGAATGATTTCTATTGCTCATTTTACAAGCGATGTAATTTGATAAAGCAAGATTAAATCTGTAAATAAAATTTTATTTATTAAAATATTTTAAACAGTAAAAATTTATAACAACAAAACTAATGTAATATTTAATATAGACAACTTAAAATATTAGAATAATTAATTAAATGATTAACCATAATATAATCCAATAAAAAGAGACTCATTAATAATAAACTAGGAGAACTTCATTCCTGACTGAAGCATAGTAATGGCTTGCAAACTCATATTAGATCATTAAGGGACACTAAATTGAAGTGATGAATCATTTCATTTAACACTCCTTACCATAATAAACCTTGCAAGTTATAATATGTTACTATATATATATAGGTTAAAGGCATATGTAGTCAAGTTTTCAAGGAAAATGGAAAACGAAGATCAGTACTAACTACTCAAAAAAATATTTGGCAAGAGATTCACTGTATTTCAAATGCCAAGTAGGGCACATTCTTTTGTTTATGTTCTTATACAATGCAAAATTTTCCCATTGACTTAACATGGGGATGGCTTTTCACTCACAATATCTCCCATTCTAGATCAAATTTAAAATACATACTTCATCACAACATGCCATTTTATTACTTCTATTAATGCGTAAAAGTTCATTCAAATTGATCAAGTCATTACTTCACAGAACATATTTCAACAATTTGTCAATTTGAGTTGCTGTGCTTCAATTAAAGAATGAATTGAATTGATGGAATAAGGCAATGCAACATTTGCCTTATTCAATCTGCCAACAGAAGGTGCTTTCTATGGGGAAACTATTACCTATTTAGGTATTACCTGTAGAACCCAGAGAACTCCACGCGACCAGCCTGTGTTAGATAATTTTTTACTTATTCTACACGATATTCCAAAAAGAATGCTACCATTTTAAATTATTCTAATTATGTTAATTATCATCCAAAAACATTGTAATGTAGATTATAACATTGGAAAACTATTCAAGTATCACATTTGTCCATTACAGTTTCTCAATGCGTGTACCTCGTGTCACGTGGTGCACATCCAACCGATACTTAAATTCTTTCTACACTCACTATAGCATATCCATTGTCGATCCTCCCACACCAGTCTCAATTCTACAGCTCCTGCAGATTTCTCATGTGCAATGATGACTGAGAACTGCAGAATACAAAATGCCTTCTATTGCAGGAGTTGCCATTTTCATTTACGGCACTTCCTAGAGGTAGTAGACAACATGTTTGAATGCAGATAAGAGATAAAACTCGATAGTTACTCTATTGATTGGTGTATATCGCATACTTCCGGAATAATAATTAATGTAATTACAGTACTTTAAAATGGTAGCATTCGTTTTAAAGACCCTGCACTATTCTTTGTTTCCTATGTTTCAAATATTTTGCTGAACCATTCTATGAACTTTTCTTCCTAATGATAGAGGTGATAGACCTGAGTTTTTGCTGTTTTTGGACTTTATGTTTATGTTCTTTTATTGTTTTTAAGCTCCATTATAGCAAGTGTTTTTTTCCTGCTTTTTAAATTTGTGTGTTTTGGTTTATTACAGAATGAACTGGTTTGATTAATGTAAGATAAAAATTACACAGGAAACATTTAAAAAATTTATTAAAATATTTCTAGATATAAATTTGTTTGTAGCTTTGTTTGGACGTGATACTTTAGTTTACATCAGTGATTCTCTGGGGACACCTAGTGATTTTCCAAAGTACACTTTTACGCTGTTTAGCCAGAGAAAAGAACATTTCATGCATCACATATCTCTTACAGGATAGACAAAATACTTTGGCATACAATCTATCATTACCTAAGATAATGCTTACAGGAAAAAGTGGATGGCAGCTTAGAATGCCCATAGTTCATTTGTGACTTGGTTTAAGTGGTTTGTGGATTAATAACTTTGGGAACAACGATCATTATACATTAACAAAAGATGAAGATAGCTTTTAGAAAGCTAAAAATATTTGTTAAATAAACTTTTGTTGTTGGATTTTGAAAGGTTTTTTTTGAATATTTATTTGAACAAATCAAATATAATGTAAGTTTTAATGTAGGTTTTAATAAGTCTAGACCTGATGAGAGAAAAATATGTAATTTTATCTATTTGTTTCAAAGTACAATAGAGTCTCTATAGTCTCACTTGCATCTGATATGTCTAATAATATAATACTCCACAGGATGGTGCACATGAAATTTTCATGCTACCACTTGCCAATGTATGCAACAGAGTGAGACTGATGTATTGTGTGTATACTATCAGTTGCTAATTGTTTGTTTCATGTGTGGTTGGCAAAACAGTCATAATCATGGTCACAGATTAATTAATCATATTAATCAAGTGTTGTTACTACTGTACAATATGCACATGCATACAAAACCCAGCAATCTGACACTTGGCAGTCCAATACTTGTTGGATTACAGAGAATCTACTCTGTTTATAATCTACTTTTCTGCTATAAATACTAAAACTTATTCAACTATCTGAAATTAAACACACATTACATAAAAAAATATAATCACTACTTACTTAAATTTCTTAAACCAAGCTTTTCGTCATCAAAACTTGAGACTTGTATAACAATGACAGATCAAATATGCTAATAGTTTTAACATTCTGAAACAAATTAATAGGTCCTCATTAAAATATGCTTCACAACTTAATTGTATACATACATAATATATGCATTCGATAAAAATAAGCAAGTAAATGACATAGTAACATCATCAAATTACACACACAGACCAACAAAATATGCAGGGTTTCCTATACAGCCACAAAGCTGGATGTATGCATTATGCTCTGACCTTTCTGTATAGGCTACTCGGTCGTCAATTAGCTACACAGAAAGGTCAGTTGTCACAAATGTATTCTAGAACTTTGAAATAGAAAAATTGGTGATTCCTATTTCGAAAGACTGCATCTTTAATTTTTAATGTTTTAAACTTAATTACCATCAAGCATTATTTTACAAGTAAGATTTTAGTGTTTATCATGATACATAGAAGACAATAACAAATATTGCTGGCTCATGTCTCTATCATTTCTATACTTCTTAAAAATAAACATTTTGCTTGATCATACAGAATAACAGTCAAAGATAAATACAGTGATACCTCGGTTTTCATCGATAATCCATTCAAAAGAATCAGCGAAATCTGAAACTGATGAAAACCAAGGCAATTATTTCCATATGAATCAATGTAAATCCAATTAGTTTGTTCTAGACACTCCAAAATACATACCAAAAACACATTTTATAGAGAATAAATATAGTGTTTAATACTAAAAACAATAAATAATTGATATAAAAGTGGCCGATTTCAGCAATCTTAATGTCACTCTTGTATTTTTCAATGATTTCCTTCATCAACTCGATCGTGTTCCTAACCTTCTTTGAAGGGCTGATGGCTTTGGAAACTTTCTTTGTCCTATGAGGGAGCAAAAAGGAAAGGAAAGCAATGGAATTGTTTGGCTAGAGGCACGGGGTAATAATGCTCACACAATGAAAAACAATGCCACACTGAGCAGGAAAATGCATGCGTCGCCCTTTGTTTTCGCAAAATTAGCAGCAAGGTTATGCGGGAATGGTGACAAAATCCGAGACAAATTTTTCGCAGGAAAAAAATCAACAAAAACCGAAACCGGCGATAACTGATGTCAATGAAAACCAAGGTATTACTGTATAATAAATTAATTAATCAACCAAAAAAACATATTTCTATCTTTAGTTTTGCCAGAGAATAAATTTAGCATCAAATATTTTTTGCCTAATTTAGGCCATCTTAAATATTTAACAGACTGATACTGCACAAATGGGATATGTTTTTATTTGGTAACAGCATGCATTTGATAACAATATATAGAATTCTTTTCATTATATATCAGATTATTTGTGGACTACTAGAAAGAATTCTATATTTAGCAATATAAGTTGTATTTTTATCACTGTAGACAAGAATTAAGTTTAAATTATAATAGAAAATTAATTCCAGAAAATTATTAGAAGAGAAGGGTTTAATGATTATGAAGCATTTATTTATATTTGTTATGGACATATAAAAACAATGCAGAATATTGAAGGTATGTGGAAAGATGCATTGAAGTTAGATGTGAGTGAGGAAAACGCTTAGTGAAATTAGCAGATATTGTGAGTTATAATAGACTATGAGCACCACACATTTGATATTTGACAAATGTTGAGCAAACATTTGGGCAATAGCAAGTAGTTTAAAGGATGTATTCGTGTCTTCGCTCAACAAATACTCAGTATTTGTCGTTTGCCACTCCTTGCTGTATATTGTGTCAAATCAAAGAGGATGAATCTCTCAAATTTGTACTTATCATAACAAACAAACATTCAGCAAATGATCATGTACATGTACAGTACAGTACATGTGCTTGCCATATGACAAACACTTTGGCATTCTGCAAAATTCCAAATGTGTGCAGCCTATAGAGAATATTAAATATAAGTTAAAGAATAGCAATACTATAAAAAAAAAAAAGTTTAAAATAGTAATTTCATTCATTTAGTTACTATTTGGGCCACAATTTGAAAAAAGTTATAGACCTATAAATTCCCACTGTGTTAAGGAATGACAGACAGACTGTTGTCTGTCTGTCATTCCTTAATCTCTTGAACGGAGTTAGAAAGATGAAAATCGAGAGCAGATATGGAAAGCTTAGGGGTAGGAGGCCCCAATTAACTATATACAAACTTCCGGTCTGTGCCAAAAGTCGTGTTATTTCAATTCAATAGTTCTCCTAAAACGAGTTATATAGATGACTGGCACAACTCTACTGTTAAAGGGAAAGTAATGTAGAGGAGCAAGACATTACTAATTTGAGGTGGAGAGAATATATTTTAAATTAAATAGATTAAAAATTGCAGTCTGCATTGTGATAATGTCACAATAAATAATTGCTCATTTAAGTTTTTGTTTTACTTCAACAAACATTTCCACCAATTGTTAAAGACGGAAAAATTAACTACTGGCTGACAAATTGAAATAAACTGTCGTGAACAACTAACACAATTTGTTTACATTTGACTAAAGCTTCTTGGAATTTGAACATTTTCGCAACCGACTATGCAAGATTCCAAATTTAATTTCGTATGTCTCAGAAAATAAACAACGTAGTTAAATTAAGAGTAATCCAAAAATATTCTTTCATTCTTAAACATTTGAGTTTGTGCCAACTTAAATTAAAAAGACACACATTCATTCAGTTAATGTATTTAAAACAGTTGTCTTCTGAAGATGAATCGACTGCATCTCCAACTTCTACAAAAAAGAAAATTTTGGCTTCATTTTATACTCAATTGAAAAAAATGATTTTATAATATAACAAAAGCTGAAAATGATGCCAAAAATAATTCACATCAGAATGAATCTTTTATAAAGAATGTTAAAAAAAAAAAAGGCTGTGTATAAATATGTTAATAAACATAGATCGAAAACTCAGTCATTTCTGTGATATTAACAACTTTGTGATTAGTATCGTGATTGACTTAATGGTTTCTGTGTGTCACTTCCAATGTGAAGAGAGGATAATATTTAAAGATATTCCGCATGTCTTTACTTCATTTTAGAGATAAAAAAACTCTCAAAAATTGTCTCTGAAGCTCACTAAAGTCCACTGAAACTGAAGCTCAACCCCTTCCCTTCCAGTGTGGACGTCATTTATGGACAGACCCTAACAAGAAAAATAATTAAATCTAACAGAAAAAACGGACCTAAGCTGATATAAATTACAATCAAACTGATTTTGTGTCGTCATTCTCTGCAATTAGCATTAAACTGAAGTGCCACGAACAATAAGAATTATATATAGTGAGATCTACATTATGAACAAGATTTAAAAGTCACTTGAACTAATGATCATAATGTCATTTGCAATGCAATATTGTACATTCTCAGATATTGAAGGATTCTCTAATATTTTTATGGAATAGATCTGTTCTCAAAAGTAACATTGGTACTTTTTGAAGATGGTACTAATTTTAAGCTGCTATACTGAAGTTTAAATAGATATATTATAAAAATGAATTTACAAAGTGATGCTATGCAATCGTTTATTCAATTGCTCACGATCTGATAGAAAAGGCCTTGCGATAGTCGACAAACATCTGTGTGTATGTACACACAGATGTTCCTTAACTTACTGTGTTTCGACATATATTTTGCACGTACGATGGCGATGCAAGTGAAACGAAAGAGTAAAAACTGTTAGAATTTGAATTCAAGCAGCTCGCACTTTGTAGTATCCTCAGTCCTGGAAGTGTGCTATATATTCTTTTTCTTTTTTTTCTGTACAATTTACAATGCAGTATACAATGTTACATACTATATAACCTTGCATATAGCCTGTTTTGTTTTATTTACAGTATTCGTTTTCAACTTACGATGTGTTTTTTGGAACATAACCCCATCGTAAGTCAGGGAGAGACTGTATACATAATAATATTAATTATATAGTCTAATTACTGTTTTATTTTATGAAATTTTGAAATCACATGATCTTACAGTATAAGTTTTGATAATAAATAAATTTTATCTATACTATGGGGGAAACCTATAGATCAACTGTTAATTCGAGAAGATTTAAAATACATTAACTGATATTTAAAGGTTATCTTCTTATCATATCATATATAAATTTTACTAATGAATAAAAAGTTATTTGTGTAACGCACTTCAAGTGAATTTCTTTAGAAAATAATATTTTTTTAATTGTAGTTTGTGTATTCAGTACATTTAAGTTTTCATTACGAAGACAAATACAGGCACCTATCAGGATTTTCAGGTTATACTTCAGCCAGTAAATAATTAAATAAAATTCAGCCTAAACATAGGGTGCAATCTTGTATTAAATAACTGCCTACCTTTAGGCTAAATTTCTTACTAGCCAAGGTATACACAACATAAAAAATTACCAGCATGCTATAAAGTGATTGTTATATTGGCAACTACAGAGTATCCGAAAACATACTGTGCAGCGAGAAATTTTTTAATGGCAAAGTTATACATGTGACCTGAAAGTTGTAAGGTATTGCGTACGGTCAACTCATACCAAATGAACAACTTACAGATCTCTTATACAAGACCATACGTATAACTTTAATGTCGTAACAAAATTCTACTTCAGAGTAACTTTCTAGACTGTGTATTTATACATTGCTCCCGCTATGTATTTAAATTCGACCACCGGAGCCCAGAGATAGGGGGCATTAACAAAACAATTCTCTGCATTTTAAGTATAAAAATACTACTACTTTCGGGAAATCATCAGTATAAAGAAAAACAATTTCAGACCAACTTCAGCTAACAGCATCTTTCAAAATGAATACACACAATATTCCTGAACCAAATCAAATGGTTGTGAGCCAAAATTGGTCCAAATAAAGATCTAAAAACATTTCTTGTTTACTTAAACCATTGGTTTCCTTACAGCAGCTACATTTTCTTCTTGAAACTTATAAAATGATACCAAGAATATCCTGATAATCCTCAAATTTAATGTATTTCACATGTGCTATTTTGTCTAACAAATTTTTGTAATGTTCAGATATAATAAAATCCCGAGTAAATCGCAACTGTACTGGAAATAAA